TGGAGGGCTTTCTTCTCTTTTGTCAGCTTGGCAATGTTCTCATCCAGGGCTGCCATTTCCTCTGTGAGGTTTTTCACCTTTCAGAAGAAGGGAGCAAGTATAATTAAAGCAAGTAGGTTCAAGACTCCTGTAACATTTGGACTTACAACCCTCTTGAGTCTTTTCCAACTCAAGACATTCTGCAATTCCAAAAGCACAAAAACACAAAATGTTCTTTATTGGAGTGTGAGCGACAACTTCTGCATCGTACCTTGTTTTCAGTGGCATGCTTTTCCTTCTCAACCTTAGCCAATGTTAACTCCAGGTCATCTATATCTTTCTTCAGCTCTGAACATTCATCCTCCAGTTTCCTCTTCTTGGCTGTCAGCTCGGCATTAATTTCCTCCTCATCCTCAGCCCGTTCTGTCACTTCCTTAATTTTGGCTTCCAGCTGGATTTTGGTTTTGATGAGCTGGTCACATCTTTCCTCAGCATCAGCCAAGCTATCTGCTTCCTATGCGGAGATACAAGATATCTTTCTTTTCTGTAATTTTAATAGCTACTATTTTTATTTTTTTTAATCTTTTATCTCAGTAAATTTACAAGTTACAAACATGGTAATCAGCTTCCCTTTTGTAATTGATTGGAGGTAATGATACTGTTCTTTAGAATGCTAGATAAAGAAGAATATCACTCTTCTACACTCATCAGAATTATTGTACACCTTATAGTGGCACACTTGAATTTCTAACCACTCTGTCTGGAGTTTTTAATGCTGATTTAAGGTTGCTCTATATTCTTTCAGGCTTTGATATTTTACTGGGATAGCTTTCTACTAAATAGCTGCAGACCTCTTTACTAGTAAGACATTCAAAACTGGTGTTCTCATTTAGACTGAGAAAAAATATGCTATAGATATTCAGTTTTCTAACTGAACAATAAAAATTACATAACTAAAGGAAACATGAGCCTTTTCACCTTTACAAAATCTGCCTGTATTAGGGTGCTTTCTTTCACTTTATCAGGGATTACTGAACTCTCCTGCGCATAGTGAAACACCTTTCAACAATCCTGGGAGATGAGACTTTTTCAGAAGCGGGAGCTCCGTATTCATTTCTTCTTGGACTGAAGCAAATTTTAAAATATACTTCCCCACTTCTCAGTAAATGAATAACCACTAGTTATGGAGCAGCTGAATTTACAACCATCAGTTTGCACTCTAGAATTTAATATTCAGAATGAATTCATGGTATACCTTAGATCGCGGTGAGACCGATCTATATCTTGCAAGACTCACTGAGTATCTCATGTTGACTAGCTGTAGATGTCTTCTTCCACATAAAGCAAGAGAACTGACTCACATCTCAAGTTACGTTTTAGTTTGCAGTGAATATCAGAGGCCACCAGGCTATTGCCAGACAAAAATTTATTCAACTTCACAATCAATATGATGCCTACCTCACTAAATAGCTGACATTTCATCATATATAATCTGAATGTCATCTTGGGAAATAGCAATCTGACTTTACACAACCTTTTTCTGGATGGAAAATAAATGGCAATACTCACAGCCTGCACTTGGAGCTGCAGATCATTTTTCTCTTGCAGCAGGGACACCATTTT